GTCATAAACTCCTTACTGTTCATAATCTTTACAAACTTCGTACTATAACTGAACTTTTTAAAATAGTGAAATATAGGGTACCCATATCTCTCTACTCTTTACTTAACATGTCTGAACTGAGGGATGACCGTCTAATACCACCAAAGCCAAGCCATAACTTTATTTATAAATCTTCTTGGCTTTGGAATCAATTCAAGGACTCCAATCCACAGAATAAACCTGACTTTGTGAACACATCCTGTAACTCAATCAAATCAAGGCTAAACCGATCTCTTCTAGATGCCCAAAGCAGGTTCGATAATGAGTGGCATAATGACAACTTTAACAGTTTTGGACCATGCTAGATTATTGATAAAAACGTGGAATTTATGTAAACAAATACTTAATTACTTAAATATTGCCGTTTCCGTACGGCGCTATACGTAATATATGTTAAAAGCGCGCTGCAGCTACTCCCTACCTCAACATTTGCGCGGGTTTCTTAAGCGCGCACGTACGTTTATTCTTGGCGGTTAATCAGACCCATGACATAACGCTATAGGTGGCAGTGACTGTAATTTTCTTCAACAATTACTGAATTATCCATCCATAAAGTGATTTACAAAATGACACCTAAACCTCGTGTTTTGGTGTTCACTTAAACGGTACTTGGCGGCTGAACTGTGGTGTCTGACGTTTGCAGCTAGATCGGACTCTGCATGATATTGTATTAGCAAATTTGTATAGTGTATAATTGTTTAGTGTTTATAATACTCTGCAACCTGGTAGCACGGCTGACACAAAAACAAAATTTTGGCCTGGCTTGTGCATAACCAAGTAAATAACACGCACTCAGATAAAAGCCGTCTGGAGAAACTCCGCAAAATGTTCATTGTAGTCAACGGGCACAAAGAAGCACTACTAGCAATTGTGTCCTTTACCCTCCTACATAATTTGAACATTTTTGTGGCTAACTCATTGAACAACATCTGAATTAAAATGTGTCTAGTATTAAAAGATTCAGTAAGTAATTTTTTCATGTACGCTGTAGTTAGTAAATCAAATCAAACTTTTTCGATCAGCCGCGCGCTGAACCAGTGTTGCACTAGGTAAAATTGTGTATATTTTGTTCATTTTTGAGTGTAAATTAATTTATTAATTTATCACAAATTATTTTATTATAATATAACCACTTATGTGAAATGGTTATTTTGACTTTAAATATTTGAACTAAATATGAATTGATTGTGGGTATAAAATAAAATTTGTTTTACAAAAAAAAAAAAAAATTTGTTTTACAGAACACGCAGACAATGAGGGGGACATTTAATAAAAAATTTAAAAAAAAAAAAAAAAAAGGGGGACCCCCAACCCATGTAGCTGAGACACCTCACAGCAAGTAGACCAAAGTGGCTCTTGCTTGTGAAAGGTACGTCAACTACCCGCCGAAGCGGTGGGTTGGGAGTCCCCCCTGGGATCATTTCGTCCGTAAAATTATATACAACATTTAATAAAACAAATATTTATTTTTACGGCACAATCAAACAATATCAATAATAAATAAATCAGGGGAGGTTTGAAGAGGTTTCAAGTGCCGAAGGCCACTGCTTATCTTTAGGATTTGAGAGTGACCCAAAGTCATCTATCTTAACCATATCTCTAGGGATCCCACGTCACCTTCAGTTTAGGAACTTACAGTCTGACGAAACAATGACTGTCAAATGTAATAGCAGAAGCATATAAGAGATGACTAGGCTTAGTCAAGACTTCTTCAAACACACCATCAAAAAAGAAGATGATGATTCTGTCCCAAACGGCATTCGCTTCAGCTTAACACTCATTGGTAAAACTTCAACTCAACTATTCTCGTAGGGGATTCTAACTTAGGGCCCATAACATTCGGAAGCGGCAAAGGTAAACTTGGAGAATCGACCCCTGGCCTCAGATCTTGGGCTCCTACAATAGACTCAATAGACCCACTATCATGCACATCATACCGTAATGTTGTGCTAATGGTGGACACTAATGACCTTAATATATATAATATAAGAACAAAGTTACTGACCAAAATGTCAAAGAAACTTTATAAGCTATATAAAACAAAAATCAGACTGATAAGGAGGTACAACCCTAAATGTAAAATGTTCATATGTCCAATACTTCCCACAAAATCACACGACAAGAACCGTAGAACTTTTTGTATAATAGGTTTTTTGCTGAAGATTTATGCCAGTGCGACCTTAAAGTTATTCTAGTTGAAGGTTTTATCAAGTTCCTAGACAAGCAAACAAAGGGGGAGCCGCACATTCGTGCGCGGCAGGTCATACAACGTATGACAAGGCACACATTAATGCACACTACTTGGAAAAAAATAAACAAATATGATGGTGTTAAAAATTTAATTTTCGTACAAAATATGTAGCGCGATGCACTACTGGGCCGCGCCGCGCATCTTCTCGCAACCACCGGTTATGCAGATCGGCGAGATTCGAAGGATTGACATTGTGAATCTATATGTAAAAACCTTTATCATGTCATACCAACTTATCGTATCACAACTGGGTCGCGCCGCTAATAGAATAATGCTGGTATTTATTAATAACAATCAAAACATAACATATCATAAAAATGAAGCCGCGCGTTGGTTGGCTGCCTTGACGGATGTTACTCGTCTAAATTTCTTCGAAGTAGCGCGCGCCGCTTTCTTCTCGAAATGGCCCGACGGCACGAGCTACGAAGTAGCGCGCACCGGGCCAGATCATTAACAATGGTCAATTGGCTGCCTCATATTATATAAATAAATAAATGCAATGAAAAAAATTAAATAGCAAAAAAGCTTGCTTTTATACAACAAATCTTTTTATATTTTGATGATTTTCCGTTTATTAATGATTTTTTTGAAAATGAAACGTTCAATACATCAAAGTTTTCTCCGGATGATGAATGATGATTAATCACTTTACACTCGACTTTTACGTGACTTTTTCAACCCTAACCCTCTAATCTGATCCCAACCCTAACACAATCATTTTAATTAACAAAAGCATATGCTGAAACCCTTGACCATTGTTAATGATCTGGCCCGGCGCGCGCTACTTCATAGCACTTGCCATCGGGCCAATATTTCGAGCAGAAAGCGGCGCGCGCTACTTCGAAGAAATTTAGACGAGTAACATCTGTCAACTGAAACCCTAACCCTAAATTATACTAATTTCCTTATACGGCCATATCACGTGATCAAGCCAAGACAGTTTTTCGCCAATATCTCGTCAGGGGAGCATTTCAATCCTATGTCATGGAGGGTGATTCGGAATTAGCGTCCGAAAATACATCGAATGAAGTTGGTTTCAACTATGAATTATCGTGGGCCCTTTAAGAACAATCTCCGAGATCGACTGTAGAGTGATTTATGATTTAGCACGCTCGGTTTTCTCCGGATACCTTGGCGACTTGTGTTACTCTCACTGACCTCACTGATTGGTCAAGCTGATCAAATGCTCAGTCAAAACTGCGAAATTTCGGTCAAGGAAACAGCAAAATAGCTTCTCTCTAATTATTAAGAAATGCGACATGTAATTGTAAGATAACAATTAAATAGATCCTGTGCGCGGCGCCTACAGCTGACCTACGAATTTCTGAACAATTGAAAATTGTGGCTGTGTGCGCGGCGTACTGTATATGTGTTTGAAATTGAAATTTGAATTTATTTATGAATATAACATTATGTATTGATTGTTTTGTGGTAAATAAAAATTTTTCTTTCCTAAAAAAAAATTTTTCTTTCCTCTTCAAAAAAATTTTTTTCTGACGATTTTCCGTTTATCAAAGCTTTCTTTGGAAATAAATCTGTCAGTAGATCAATCGTGTCGTGTGTAATCCAAACTGACCTTGCTAAATGGTCATTCAAGCAAAATTCAGTCAAAACAGGAAAATCTGGGTCGCAGAAAGCTGCAATCCGAAAATGTCTGACCGATTGCAGATTGGTCACTGCACCCTGGTTAAAGATTCAGTCGAAATCCGGTCAAGGGGACAGCTGAAACGCTCCTCTTCAAAAATCTTCCAAAATCTCTTTTTCTATTCTGATGATTTTTCGTTTATCAATGTTTTATTTGAGAATCCAACTTTCAGTACCTCAATTGTGTCTTGTGCCATCCTCAGTGATCTTGCTAAATGGTCATTCAATAAAAGTTCAGTCAACCGGTAGGACATTTTCAAAAGTTTCCTTCCGTCAAAGTTTTCTCCACACATACAGCTTCCAGTACCGTATAGTAATGGTAAAATTTGCCACTCTCACCGACCTCACTGATTGGTTACTAGTAAAAATTTAGTCAAAATCGCAAAATGTCGGTCAAGGAGACAGCAGAAAAGCTTCTCTTCAAAAATCTTCCAAAACATCATCTCCTATATCAAAAATATAATATCAAAATATATATCAAATTATTGACCATATTTTATGACGATGAATTGTAAAATTCGTTCAATTTATATTTATTCGGTCTCCAATTATTGAACTGCGGAAGCTGGTTGCCTCAACACTGTTGACCATGGTATGACTGAATTATCAACCCGTGATTATTAAACGAAAAATAAATGATAAACATGATTTATAATTTAAAAACTGTAAACCACCAAGTTCTGAATTATCGCTTAAATTTAAATAAGTATCAAAACAAAAACCATCATGTGCCGTTAAGCAGCAGGGCGCGGCTCACATGGGCCACAGCAAATCGGCGAAAATGGGTTCAGAAAAGCCACTTTTGGCACTCGAGCCCTTGATCTTTCCGATGGTTCACTGGGCCTTTTGAGCTGCTGTCCTTCAGCTTCTGTCAACTGAAATTACTACTAATCCAATTTGAGGCAATCAGCTGACGCGCGGCTTTTATGGTTATATATGATATGTTTAATCTGTAATAAAGATCAAAATTCAAATTTGTATTCCTTTAAAAAAATGTGTATTCCTTCCTTATTCTGCATCTGATGATTTTCCGTTTATCAAAGCTTTCTGTTACAAGTTACTCCTGAAATGTTTAGGATGGGTAAAGGTGCAGATCCCGGAGACCAACATGTAAAGGTAGCAGTACGATGCAGACCACTGAATGAAGAGGAGGCTGCCAATAATGCTGCTGAAATTGTCACTGTCTCCCCAGAACAAGGTTTCTTTTAATCTTCAGTGACTAAATCAAATTGTTTAAAATTAGATGCTCTTAATTCATTCATGTTCACTATATATAGTATATATACTTTTATGCTTGTACCTCCTTTACTTTGATTTCTTTGCATTTCTTTGCATTTTTTGCATTTCACCAACACTACTGTAGCTATTTGACCTTTAATAATAAATAAAGATTTAAATCCAATACTGACTTATCCATTATCAATTTCAGGCACCATAGTCCTGAGATCAAAAAAGCGTGTGGATCCAGAAAAGAGATTTACTTTTGATAATGTATTTGGACCTGACTCGAAGCAACTTGATATCTACAATATTTGTGCACGAAAGATAGTTGACTCAGTATTGGAAGGCTACAATGGTGAGCGTTCTAGAAGAAGGAGTACTGGAAACATGACCACCTTATTCTTTATTTTCCCAGTTTTATCTCTACCTATTATCACAATTTACCAATTGATGACTACACAATTTTATTTATGTTTTGATAAGAATTGTCTCTGTGAGTGTGCAGTAATATCAAACATTTTCAGGTACAATATTTGCATATGGTCAGACAGGTACTGGAAAAACATTTACCATGGAAGGTGTACGCTCAATACCAGAAAAGAAAGGAATTATACCCAATTCATTTGCACATATATTCGGAGAGATCAGCAAAGCAGGGGCAGACGTGAAGTTCCTTGTTCGAGTATCATATCTGGAGATCTACAATGAGGACATCTGTGATCTGTTGTCTAAAGACATGAAGAAGAAATTAGAGGTATGTACCTTATTTTATTGAAAATGTGTTTAAAATCTTTTACATTCCACATGTTACTCTGAAATCTACATACTTACTTCAATTTAGATTGTATGTTAATTTAAAACCATGTTTCTTCAGGTTAAAGAGAGACCTGATGTTGGCGTTTATGTTAAAGATCTTCATCAATTTTCTGTAAAAAACGCTCAAGACATGGACAAGATTATGACTGTAAGTCGTAAGATCAAAATGTTTAACTATGAATAATATCTTTATTCTTTTGAGCTTATTAAGTCTTTCGAGCTGATATATCTTACAAGTTTTTCGCGGCTGTGGAACAATTTAAAATTGTCAGCTAATCAGGGTTTGAATAAAGATGCTGCATATCACGTCAGAAAACTTACGATTTTAAAGTTTCATTCCAATTACCATCAATCATTTTAGGTGGGAAACAAAAACAGGTCGGTTGGTTCCACCAAGATGAACTCCCACTCTTCAAGATCTCACGCTATCTTTACCATCACCATTGAGAGGTATTTGTAACTAATTGATGGGTAATTGTAACTAATTGAGAAGTAATTGAGAGGTAATTGAGAGGTGATTATAACTCATTGATGGGTAATTGAGAGGTAATTATCACTATATTCCAGTAAAAAACATTTAACTTACCCTACAATATCTCGGATATACATGCTCAAATAGACTTTTATCAAGTACTAACCTTATAGGTGTGATCAAGGTATAGACGGAAAGGGACATTTGAGGATGGGAAAACTTCACCTCGTTGATTTAGCTGTAAGTTGGACTCAAAGAAAATATATTTAGTCAATAAAAACCAATTATTTGATTTAAAACGATGCACACATACGGCAACATCAAGTTGATGACAGTTGAATTTTATTAAAATATAGTCAGTTAAAAATAACACATATTGCAGGGATCAGAACGGCAGGCCAAGACTGGAGCTACTGGTAAAAGGTTAAAAGAAGCTACTAAAATCAACCTTTCTCTTAGCACTCTCGGAAATGTCATCTCAGGTTTTCAAATTACTTGTTATCTTTAGTTTTAGCTTGGTAAATGGTATACAGATTTGCGCAATTTAAACATTTGTAAATAATTCCATTACTTGGATTGTGCTGTCAGAAAGTATGGTTATATTTTGTTATACAGTATTTACCGTTTGTATTGAGTTTTAAATATTAATTTCAGCATTGGTGGATGGTAAAAGCACTCATGTACCGTACAGAGACAGTAAACTAACCAGACTATTACAAGACAGTTTAGGTGGAAACAGTCGTACTGTTATGGTAGGTTTATCAGCAGTTAACTTTTAGTTTTTAAACTACTGAAGTAATGAACACAGCTTCACTTTATAAGAATGTCGTCGTTTTAACATTTCCCTCTTCTCAGTTGGCGAATATCAGTCCTGCATCGTACAATGCAGATGAGACACACGCTACACTACGCTATGCTAATCGAGCTAAAAACATCAAGAACAAAGCTCACATTAACGAGGATCCAAAAGATGCTATGCTGAGGGAATTCCAGAAGGAAATAGAGGCCTTGAAGGCACAACTTGACAGTGGTAACTATTTTAGATATTCAATAATTTGAAGCAACATTTTGATGTTAAACTGTTTTGTTTGCTCCGTTATAAATTTGATGAAAGATGTTGCATTAAATAACTGAGCTTTGGCGACTTTTAAATATTTCTGTCCTTATAGATGTTCAACTAGTTTAATTGCACCATAAAATAAGAATTCCATCGGAGATATCATCATTTACAGATATCTCTTTCAGCTGGAGGTCCAGGAGATATGGTATCAGGGAGCGAAGAAGAGTATGTTGATGAAAATGGGAAAACTGTGAGGGTGAAAAAGAGGAAAAAGAAGAAAAGTCTGGACGATGCAGTGAGTTTCACTTTCTTGTGTGTTAATATCGACTGGAACTGTGAAGTATATTTTAGTTACTGCTTAGCATGTTTGCTAATTCACTTCAGTTCACCTTTGATAATTGAACAAATCCAGGAGATAGCAGCAATAAAGGACCAGCTTGATAAAGAAAAAAAGGAACTTTTGGAAACCACGAACATGGAGGCTGCTGAAAAAGATAAGATATCTAAGGAACTAGGTTAATAAATGACTTAATAATTTCGTGGTTAATGATTATGGATATATATTTTGCGACCAATTTCCGTAGTCTTTCGCCTAATTAGAGGTTTAATTTTAACATTATTAACATGATGATGATTTGAGTATTCCCACAGCATTACGGGAAAAGGAGTTGCATAAAACTCAGCAAGAAAAGAAAAAACTGGCAGAAAAACTGACCATGTTAGAAGGAAAACTTATTGTCGGTGGTGTAGATTTGGTAAGCTGCATGTAATTTATTTTTTAATCGCGTATAATTTATATTAAAAAACCCATTGCAGTACAAATGACTATGACGAACGCTTTATAACTGTTCGATTCATTGACGAACAGAACAGATATAAACAATCAAATGCAATAATTTTAAATCATTGCTAGCGTCAATCTCTATTATAAGATTGTCGTGGTGCAACTCTGGTCTTAACTATTGAAATTTTGCCGCTGCCCAGCAAAAACGTTCATAACTTTTCGCATCAGATATAACGAAAGCGCACTTTTCAGCAGCTAGTATCTTGCGCGTGGCTGCGCGCCACGGTGTTCATTCTGCTTCATAACAAACTATTCCACCAGCTAGAGAAAGCTAAAGAGCAACAGATTCTGCTGGATCAGTCTTTCAAAGAACTAGAAGCTACAACGAAGAAACAAGAGAAAATTAAAGAGGAAATCGAAGAAAAAGAGGTACGTGACACAATTATCGTTATTCTGCGTTTTCGCTGAATAAAATTGAAATCATATATCTTCTATTAAAAAGCAATATAATACACTCTGCTAATAATACACTATACTCTGTTGCAGCAAGAAAAGTTAATTGTTGAAGAGAAGTACGGTAACCTGCAAGAAGAAGCTGCAGGAAAAACCAAGAAACTACAGAAAATTAATCAGATGTACAAGAGCGCTAAAGCAGAGGTTCTCTTTTTTACATTTTTGATTGGCATATATTTCATTAATTAGGTTTATCACAAATTTTTCTGAAATGGGAAAAGAACTGGAAGCGGTTAGAGATTGGGAAATAAATATTGGCAATACTAAAAATTTGCATAATTTTGTTGATATTACAATTCATGTTATATAGTTACACCGTGTTCAGATAACAGACATGAAACAAGAGCATGAGAGGAGGGTTGAGACACTTTTGGACGACATCAAGCAGCTAACTAAAGAAATGAGGCTACAAGAGCTCCTTATCAACTACACCATTCCACCTGAGTTCCAGGAGCTTATTGAAAAGGTACTTTTATATTTTTTGTTTGCACACAAGATTCGGAATTCCCGGCATTATCTGATTTTCGTTTAATAATTAGAGAGAAACTACAGGGTGGGCCAAAAGTCAGTACCCATACGTTTCTAGAACTTATTAAACTATAATATCATCAGTGCTTCGTTATGAATTTTACTCTCATATTTTTTCACAAAACTGAAAGAATCGATATTCTTTCAATAGCAACTCATATAAACAACAAACATAATGTTTGACCTTTTTAATCATAGCAGAAATCAAGATTTCAATAAAGCAAGACCGGGTCTTATATTGCTTTATTGAAATCTACAAGACCCTTCACAGTAAACGTTAAAACAAATTCAGCAGTCTGTCTTTTCTAATCGTCCATCATCTAAATATCTTGTCCATTTAAACGGAAGATTTATCTGAGCCAGTTCTGGTCACAGTCGTACGTGCAATCAGTCTCGGCCCATCCCATTCCAATCTGCCAGGACCACCCCTTTCTGCAGATGCACCTATGACAGCCCTCGTACCAAACTTGGAAGAACTGAGCGTACCTGGAGGGAGGGAGGGACTTAATACCGCGTGGAATTGAACTATGAGACTAATAGATTAACCGGCTAAACGTTCAACGTTACGGCAGTGGTTACAGTATGTGCATTTTCGTAAACCTATATATTTACTAAAACCCATGCTCAAAGAAAAGTAATAGTATTAGAATAAAAGGAATAGTAAATTGCAGTATTTGCAAATGTAATCCTCACCCGTCTATTCCATCCCTGTTCTTGTAAGCACACTTAAAGGGGCACCCTGACATGTGGCAGTCACTAGTGGCTCTGTCTCCGCACGTGCACCACCTACATCCGTCCCAGAATATCTCAGAGGGCTGAGCTGTAGCTGTTCGACCGTTAGCCTTTACATACACACAGTTTCCACAACGAGCTCCGGAAATACACACCACCGTATCTTTATCACATCTGGAGGGGATCAGGAGTTTTAAGAAATGTTACAGAGCTGCAAATCAGTTTATCAATGTGAGGTTTTGAAATGTATCATCGACTCAACTGAGAGTAGTCAAGCCTTCTCTGTAGTTTCAAGACGGTAGAAACATTCTGCAGCCATTAAAAGTAGACGATAAAAGGTATTTGAACATTGGAACTGAACAGGGATGCTGGGTTAGCAGCTTAGGTTTCAACACCAAGTCATAGCTATTTAACAGAACATTTACAGCACACGGGCACACCACAGCCAGGTACAGCGGCTGTGGTTACACCCTGTAGTCTCTAGTTTTGCTTAGAGATTTGCACTTAAGATTAAAGGTGACAATAAAAAGTTACTCATACAAAACGTTAGTGCTACTGAGAACCGAGTACCGACTGTTGCTGTTATCTTACAATACACGCTATTTAGCAATTAGGCATTAGCACGTGATCATGTCAAACCTGCAATCTTTACAACCGTCCTCGAACTTTTCACCATGCTCGATTACACGACCGTCAGGTAGTGTACAAGCGACATGTGTCTCGTAGCTGAGTCTTTGATCAGCGAACACTACGCCTAGTAAAATGAGGACCGACAATTCTTTAAACATGGCGAGTATGAGGGCAGAAAATAAATCAACTACACTCAAGAAACGCAACACTAAGAAGACGCAGGTTTACAAGGGAATGGATCAGAGTGAAATGTGATCATTTGGTGTCTTGGTCATGTCAGGGTTATAATCGGATTATGGTGAGACCCGGACACGAAATGAAATACACGTTGCAGGATTGGAGGGATTTGCACTAGATACTTAGTCCACATATCATAAGTCGATACTGTATCCGTTACAAGATCATAGATAATTAATCAAGAATTAGTGCCTAAATTAAATATTCTATTTATAGATAGTTGTTAAATTATCATCAAGTAAAAATAATTAACGCTGATAGATTTTGCAGTTATTACAGCTTTGCTTTCTCAGAATCAAGAATGGAACTTTAGGACCAACTCAGTAGGTTTGATTGCAACGTGATCGCTTTTGATAGCGTCGAGCTACAGTGTTTAGTATCGCCAAAATAAAAGATCACCGCAAATTGTCACGATGAAATGTCGCCAGTCAAAAACTTAACTTTAAGGTACTAGCTTAGGTACTAGCAAAACTGCGCGTTTTGCTCTAGAAACACACTTTTTTAGAGATTTTACCGGCGTATCCTCTAAAATCACCTAATTTGTCCAATTTTAGGGAGAGGCGCCAACAGGGGGGCGCTTTTTCGGGGGGGGGGGGGGGGGGGGGGGGGTTCCTAAAAGGCAACGTTACGCCACTGGATACACTGTGCCAGAAAATCTGATGTTTTCAAACCCAGCAAGGGTTCCGGTTAGCGCCTTAAACTTAAACTTAAAGTCAAAAGATGTGACCTAAAGAAAACATTTGAGAAACCACGAAATTAACTTTATCCTCATTTTTAGCATATTCTATGGAACGAGGAGATCGGAGAGTGGCAGCTGCATTATGTAGCTTACACAGGAAACAACATGAGGCAACGAACTCCAACTCCCCCTCCGCAAGCTTTCGAGCAATTCGTAAGAATTTTTGTTTTTATAATGTTATATTTATAATTTTGCACGACTGAGTTGAGACACAGTTAATAAACTGCGGAGTGACTAAAATGCTATACAGCAAAAACAGAACGCTCCAACCAAACACTCCACCTACTGATCCTAACCACCCTAACAACTCTCTAGCTCTCTCTCTTCAACCCTCATTCCCTCACTCCTCTTGGTGCACAAAACCATTCTAACCTATGTATGTCCCCCTGACGGGTTCCACAAGCCCAACGGTACATAGTTAGACGAAAAACAGAGAAGCCTTGATTGCCAGATCAAGGACTGCATCAGTAGCAGCGAAATACGGATATACCTTCTCCCTTACAGTCAGCGAGCTGACAACTATCTGACTGTGTCTTTTAGGCCTTGTCACACCACCTTCGCTATTGCATCCGCTCGCCCGTATTCACTGACACATGCCACACCTGGGTTTAGTATGAAGATGTACGCATATTCACCCAAGATGCGGAGATGCCTCAGTTTAGCGAGTTGAGATACAACAGCAAACTCACAGGAGCATGGATCAGAATCATCAGTTACCAACCTGACACCGTTTCGGGGCTTTAATTTTGCACGACTTAATTCAAACTGGATTATTAATTTCCATTAAATAGTGACGGTTTGTGTAATAATGTTGATCTTCATGTATAGTATATGATATATGTCATTTTACAGGACAAAGACCTAGACATGGTGTATTGGACGTATGGTGACGTGGCTCCAGCTCCCAAAAAGAAGAGGGAAAAGAAGAAGAGGAAGAAAGGAAGGAAGAAGAAAGTAATGGAGGAGCAGCTACAGGAGGTGCAGGTGCCAGACATTGTTCCAGAATCCAGACCCAGGACTGCTATGTCGAGAACTAGATGACAAACGCAAGAATTGATGTGATCGGATGACGATCTATCGCATATCGCGTGTCTAGGAGTAAGAAACGGGACTAAATCGTAAACTATATTAATATAGACTTACAGAATGGATATCATTCATCAAATTCGTGTATCTGTAAATAGTGGTTTAATTGAAAATGTGGGGTTGATATTAAAGAAAATCCCTGCAATAAAAGAAAATTGTATTTAACATTTATAATTATATACAGGTTTTAGTTCCTTTTTCGTACGTAAGATTGAAGATTAAAGACAGCGTCTAATAGTAATAGTAATAAGCAAGTTCAAAGTTCTTATGATATGCATTATAAATTCTCTAACTTTATCAGGCTTATTGAATGTTGAAAGGTATACAATATCAATATGTTAATGCTAAATGACATACGGTTACAGACATCTTGACAGTATTTGAGTTTTAAAAGCAATAATTTCAAATATTTATGTTATCAGAAATTTGTTGTCCCAAGTCGTCAAATGGTCTACTGAAAAGTGAAATTGTGTACTGATTTTCATCCCAAAATGGCGGAGTTCAGAGTTATTATAAGCAAAAGACTGTGCTCATGTTTTATTTGGGAATACAAACTTAATGAAAGAAAGGCCAAGACTACTCTTTCTCTCCATTATAATGATTGCCCAAAATTAGCTTTTCGCAATTTGGTATACTAATATAGTACGGCAGACTACATCTGCCCGTTTCAGCTGAATTGAACTTCAGTCTATACTCGCGTGCATGCGCCGCATGACAGCGCGCGCGCGTCGGACACACTAAATGAACGGATAGTTTACTTTGCATAGGATAGAGCTTAGAAAAAGCACTAAGTTTCAGCATTTATGGTGTATTTTGATGCGCGTCTGAAAGCACGAGATCTGATCCAAGTTAGGCTAAAAGCAATCAACGACGACAGATAACCTAAATTATGGCTTACAAAATGATCGGGTAAATGCCTTAAATTTTGGAAAGTCGTGAACCATTTCATGCAGTACGAACACAAATTAGTGGACTATTCTAAATGCAGCAACGTGGACCGCACTAGCGTTGTCAGCGCGCGCTCCATTGCTATTTTTAGAAACCCTGGTGAGCAGTGTAGAAAAATTATCGAACAAGATCGTATTCGAGGGCGTTTGTCGGTTTCAGTTTGGGTTTGTGCTGAAAGACAGATTGTGGGATTGTGCTGAAAAATGTAACTAAATTCCTTAACTATGACAATAAAACAAAAAACTTTGAAGCACTTAACTTTCCAAGATCTTGACTTTCCAAGAAATCCAAATTATTAAAATGGTCAAAATTAATATATTTTTCATTTATGAAATCTGAATTCTTCGGTTGTGCTACACCAAGAAGAGCCCTTTTTTAGAATAATCCACCAGCCCAATGATATGTTCTTGATAATTCAACTATCTGAGATTTACATTAACATAAACTTTTTCTCTCTCTCTCTCTCTCTCGCTCTCTACCTCTCTCTCTCTCCCTCTCTCTATCTCTACCCCTTTCTATCTCTCCCCCTCTCTATCTCTCCCCCTCTCGCTCTCTCCCTCTCTCTCTCCCCCTCTCTATCTCTACCCCCCCTCTTTCTCTCCCTCTCTCTCCCATAACCATTGGAAGTGAACCAAGGGTTCTAACTTGAGCCGTATATCGTCTCACCACCTTGCAGTAGAGGTCGATCATGACTATAAATAGTAACACTTAGATCGCGTGGTCACGGTGATTGAAGATTGGTCTGGCAGCATCCTGCTCAGAGACTATTAGAACTTTATGCGTCACATCAAAGAAGCTCCTTATATGGGAGTGTGAGTAGAAGAACGCGTGGTGGTGGAACTAGTGGTTACAAGTACAGTATAGGATAATTTCCAAGGAAATATGATGCTGTTCAAAGTACTTTTAACTTTTGGTATTGAAATTTGACACTGAGAAGCATTTTGACAAAAAAAGCTTTTTCATTTTATGACAATTTACGATTTTCATTAACTACAAAGGTGTAACCAAAGAAAATTTAGTGATTTTAATTATTTAAGCAATTTTAACAATAGCTATATATATCATATCGGACAGACAACCCATTTAACTGATATTTGTTCATGTATAACCCTCACGATGAGCAATACCTCTTACCCTGACCACCTTGCTGCTATATCTTACCACCTCGGGGTATAATTTATCATAATAACAGCAACTATATATAAAACATTATCAACCAATAGTTATTATTATTAATCTCTGCCATTGTACCTTAACATGAGACACTGATATACCTACTACAACAGGGGGGTGTCATAGTCATTCCTGCCATTGGAAATAAATGGCAAATTTGGCGATGACACCCCCCTTTACACAAAATATATAGAACAACTTATAATATAAAGTTCAATTCCAATTATACAAATCTCTAACCTAGGTAAGTACGATATCATCATCATCTTATAGATCAAATTCGTATAACAGTTACACAGATCATATGGTATATAATAATTATACATAATTATATATAATTATTGCTAATTATACGTATCTCGGGCAAGGTGTCGTGATGCGGTGTGACCACATGTTTAATACCAGTGCACGAAGCATGTTTCAGGTGCTGAACAACATTAGGTGCTAATAAACTTTCTCTCGTCCACACGAGCCGTAATATCATATCATATTGTTACATTTTTTTGAAATTTTTTCATCAACTTTGTACATTACTTTTAACAATCACATCACTTGTACCTCCAAGAGATTCACAGAATAGAGTATGTCTCCTGACACAGAGTTATACCAGTGTAACTATAACAACGTTACCATAGCAACTATTACATCCCAACCACATCACTCGGAACTGAGACTGTGTATTTTGTGAGCTCTCCTCGGAAGGTCTATTATCAACAGAGTCTATAATAAACTTTCAGTTAAACTTGAACCAGGACCTTAAAACAAACAACGAACCGTCCTCAAACAATCGGACATTATATCATTTTGAAATAATACAGAATACATTTTGAATCATTAATATTATAATACGATTTTTACAAGTTTGTTCGTTTTGCGGATTGAAACCCTCTATCTCGCTCTCTCTCTCTCTCTCTCTCTCTCTCCTTTGCAATATGGGTGGAAGACTCGCAAGTTCAGCTAATTGAAAATGGAATGTACCTCTGACTGGAATGAGAATGTGTGTATACACAGGGAGTACAATATACAGTGTGTATTATGGTATCGTGGAACTGGTCTTAGCACGTGCAAGCGCGCGACTGGTGAAAGTGTAAGTATGAAAGGGGAGCGTTCGGTTGTAAAATGCATCATAGTAATGTGAGGGAGAGAGGGAGCAAAGGGAACCAAGTCGCAAAACCGATTAACATTCTCCTATGGAACAAAATTAACGAATTGTACACATTTCAAGAAAAATAAGAGATCATACCAAATATATGATGTGAGGAGAAGAAACGGAATTGTCGCGCTCCTCGTCGGAAGGGCACCCCACACCGCTGTAACGACGCTGTTGTTGCCATAGCAACGCAAATTTATACTCTCACCGTTAGCACAGTGACATTTCGAACACTTAGAGCGTGAGTCAAGGAATATGTGAATTTGGAAATTTGGCCGGCTGGTGAACCTTGCAGCGCGTTTTTAAGCGGCGTGGGGTGCTCAGTTTGAAACAATACTTTAAACGAATCTCCCTATATATAGTTATACTTATAACATTGAAAACTATGCAGACCTTTAGAGGGTATTAATATCACTAAATATAAATTATCAAATCAAGTGAATTAGTTAAATGAAACGGAATATAAAAAGGTTTGTAAGCCCGGGGCATGTTCAAAATTAATTGAGTACCGGCAAAAATCACTTCAAGATAATTTTCTCTGCACTTATAGGATGCCCCGGGCTTCATTTATCGCAGAAGTGCTATCTACAATTCGACGACTTGACGCCTCACGCCCAAAACTCAACAACAGTCCAATTTTTACAATTTTACGGTAAAAGATTTCAAACTTTAAAGATTTTGAATATTTTAAGAAAGCAGGTCTGTGCAATATGCAGGACCGGTGTGCTGGCGTCGAGTGCAACTGAAGTAATCAAACGGGAAGTGCGACTACCATTCTGTAGACGTCACACTGTACTCTGTACGCACACACCATATCTTGCTGAATATTGCACACACCTCACATAACAAAAGAAATGAGGACTATGAAGCGCCATTTCACTCCAGTTAGGATCCATAGTAATCCAACCACTCAACATTATATAGATCACATCTTTTCGCTAAGCATATAGATCAGTACTTTACTGTATCACGCATCCTGGGATGCCTAAATTAATGGTTTACATATCAATTAGGGCAATAAACTTCAAGTTAACTTACCCAAAATTAACGGAACGACATAATTGGGGTATATTCAAATACCCGAATAATTAACCATTATTAATAACAACATTTGTTTCATATACAGGGCCTTTATACAATAGAACTACATTCCACCATATCGTGCTGATTGACAACACTGATTAACACTAATCACGTAGACTCGCTGTTCATTGTGGGTGTCTGGGCTGGGACATGTCGCCGCGCACACGTGCACGTGCGCACCTTGCACGTGCGTGCACCTTGCACGGCGACACGCTCCATCAATAACTCGCCAGCCCTCCCACTGCGCTGATTTCACTCAGCATTTCAATTCTATCTCTAATGAAGTGCACATTAGTACATGCCGCCCCTACTGTTATAACCACTGCGTCCGGCAGCACCGCCTCCCCCTCGTCGTCCACCATTGAATCTGCCTCCCCGGTAATATCCGCCACCACCACCACCTTGTGGGTAACCATAGTAACTGGGTCCGCCATAACCATAACCGTAGTCGTAACCACCGCTGTAGTCATAACCACCGTAATAGCCGCCATGGCCCCAGTAATCATAGTCGTACATGGCGTATCGGTTTCTCATGTCTTCTTTCAGCTTCTTTATCTTCTTGTACGCCGGGTGCTCCTCTGGGTACGTCTTCTGACAATCAACTCGGACGCCGTTGATTTCGTGGCGCTGTCCACGTGGCGGATTTTTCTTGTCAACCGCCTGTTCCACTGCCTCTTGAGAATCAAACTCGATGAACGCGAAACCCTTTTTCCTCTCGTGTTTGTTCTCTGGAATTAGTTTGATGGACTGAATGTTGCCGATCTCCGAGAAGTATGTCTTCAAGTCCTCCTCTGTTAGAGGGTCCCTGATTCCCCCCACGAACAGTCTATTCGTCTTCATCTTATCTTTGTAAGGAATTGCTTTGCTGATAATCACTTCTTTTCCGTCCAGTGTTGGAGGTCCTGCCTTTATAGCCTCCTCTCTGTGCTCTTCATCCCCGTAAGTTATGAAGCAGAATCCTCGCGAGTTTTGGTCTGCGTCCAGTTTCAGGTCTAATTTTTCTATCCTACCGAACTGTTCTGAAAATAAAAGCTCGGTTAGCTTTTAAAGGTGTGACAACCTGTTTAATGCTGAAGATCATTTCAGCTTAAACGGAATAATAGGATAAAAATTAAAATATGTGAATCATCAAAGCAACTGTAGTTTTAATAATAATTTTATTCCCAACAGTTCTGACAGGTAAAGTATGTAGTTACATAATCAGAGCTAAAAGGTTCTGGCAATGACTCCTGAAACAGTAAACCATGATTAACCGCCAATACCAGGTTCATGCTCACAATCTGATTATTGCTCATTACGATAAACCAAACAGTAGCCCCTGATATAATGTTCTTATCATTGGGACAAATCACATTGCAATAACAGCAGTATTATAAATATACGTGGGATTATCATGTTCTAAATATTAAACTTGAAATGATCGTTTAAGCGAATTTGATAATTTAAATGAAATGTTTAAAAGTAGTTGTACGCGATATTGTTATTGCAATATGTCATTATGGTTACTAACCACGGTATTCGGTAATGTCACGAAGGGGCGATTTAAGCTTTTTAAATACAACTGAAGTGAGGAAATGTGCGGTATGATGCGGTTTGTGCGGTATGATGCGGTGCTTGCTTTAAGTGACGTCAACTTTTATTTCACAAAATGTTTCCCTCGTTCATTAACCTAGATCATTGTATAAAGATTGTGGGAAAAACAGAATTTAACTTTTATTATCTGAACAATCCTCGCTAACTGTACACTAGCTAGAGAGATGTTTGGCTAGTGAAATGGCGTGCTACAAGTTTATTAGTACGATACAATAAGCAGCTTTAATTAAAAGTGGTTACAGGGATATTCTTGTACAGCAGCTGCTAATTAGATTTGACATGGAAAATAGCTCGGTGGATCAGGTCATAGAGCAAATTGTGTGTGCACGTTTGTGCACTGTGCACTGTGTGTGTGTGCACGTTTGTGCACTGTGTACTGTGTGAGTGTGTACGTTTGTGCACTGTGTACTGTGTGTGTGTGCACGTTTGTGCACTGTGTACTGTGTGTGTGTGTGCACGTTTGTGCACTGCGTACTGTGTGTGTGTGTGTGTACGTTTGTGCACTGTGTACTGTGTGAGTGTGTACGTTTGTGCACTGTGTACTGTGTGAGTGTGTACGTTTGTGCACTGTGTACTGTGTGAGTGTGCACGTTTGTGCACTGTGTACTGTGTGAGTGTGCACGTTTGTGCACTGTGTACTGTGTGAGTGTGTACGTTTGTGCACTGTGTACTGTGTGAGTGTGCACGTTCGTGCACTGTGTACTGTGTGAGTGTGCACGTTTGTGCACTGTGTACTGTATGAGTGTGCACGTTTGTGCACTGTGTACTGTGTGAGTGTGCACGTTTGTGAGTGTACACGTTAGTGCACTGTGTGAGTGTGCGTTAGATCTAAAATCGTACCTCAATACGAGTATTCATTTCTAGACAGATCTATGTCAGAAATATTCGTACGCTAGAAGTGTAGAAACATCCATTATATTTCTGACATACTAATTAGCTGATTAACTGCATGGTAGTGCCAGTGTAGTAATATTATAGTAGTATAATATAGTAGTTATATATTACACAGAGGTAGTTATTATAGTTGTTGTGTGCTTGTATTAGAATTGTATTCTGGTAGACAAATAACCGCAACTGCCGCCAACAGTAAGCGCGGCTAAATAGACAGTTAAATTGAAATTGTCAGAAGTGCTTCTTCTCCAAATATGGTTAACAGTTTCTAACACGAAAGATTTCTGGAGTTCACCTCCCCGGTTTAAGTAATTTAATAAAATCTACCATCATTTCAAATCAAGCATCAGACTTATTACGGGTGAGGCTACTAAATATCCCGCGCCAGAAAATGAAAACCATAAGATGTGTGATGACCTTATAGCCTGAACAATACATGACGCTACTGAAAAACTCACATAATCTCTGTAACCAGTTCTAAAAGCCAACTACAGAAAACCCCAGATTTATTGTGTAGCTGAAGCTTTCAGTAGGCTGTAACAGTGAACATCTGTGCCTTGAAACCCATTTTATTTCAACTAATTGTAGTACCATATTAGTGTAGCAGTATTGTATCATACCATAAGGCTGTTTCCACCATCAGCTCTTACAATTTACAAGATCCAGACTAAATTGACCCGGTACTACTATTGCTCTCTCCGGCACAATGGTTGGTACCTGGTGAATATAGCTGCTGTTTGTAGGAATGTACCGTGTGTACAGCTAATGTAAGCTAATGCTTGCTTGCAAAGCCATTATGGTATTTAGTCTCCATTTGAAGTTTGCTTACAGCTTTATGCTCGGAATGATATCCAAAGGTAAAGTGGAAACGTCGTTTCTCAATTCTCACTTTGATATTTCCGGGGAATAATTAATTAAAGATTGAATAGAGATAAACGGGATGTCGGTGTTTAATGTTGAGTCGTGAAGGATAAATAATTACTATTTGAGTGGGGCCTGTGAGATAAAAATACTTTCGATTGCGTTAAGACACATGACTAGTTCCTCCATGAAGGAGCTCCAGAGTCCAGGAGCTCCAGAAGGTATGCAGTTTGCAGAAGACTAAAGGCCTGGGCTGATTCTATAAACCCTCACTTACATACTCATCGTGCAGACCATTTTAAGAAATGTGTCAAAAATTCTTTATCTGAAACAAATAAGTCTCAAATTTCGTCTTCTCTCGGGTAGAGTTGGTAACAATGTAACATGTTGCTAACTTGATGTCTTAGAACTGTGACTTACAGAAGTATTTGGTAAACGTTTTCCTGGTAAAACTAACAGCCAGAACAAATACTAAGTATTTTCCTGCCTCACTGCTATTCTCAACTTTCAGGAATTTTTCCGGTTTCTCAGTCAACTGTCAATGTACTGTTCACCTTTAGTTTCCCTAAGTTGGACACAGTTGAGCTGTTGATGGCATTAGTTGACGGCACTGTTCTTGCGGTTATGATCTGACGGCATTAGAAGCATTTACAACTTTAAGTTGACGGCATTGCGATTAGTAATTGACGGTTGTTTGATGTGTCAATACAAATTTCCCACATCTTATTACAAACAAAATTATAATTTATCGATAAAATAACCAATCAATTAAGTCCAACATTTTTAAACGATTCCCATTTTACCCATAATATACCCCAATTATTAAGATAATTTTAGAATAAGCCTGTATAAAACATGTGTATATTATTCATGATTATGTTAATGAATCTGCTCTTATCACAGTGATCTAATACATCACTATTATACAGCTGTAGGGCCACACTGCGTATTACGCAGCACGCTAGATTGCAATGGACTATTAGCATAGTGCATGTCATTGATGTTTTGTCAATCATCGGTTATTAAACATTATATTATACTGCAGAGATTTTTGCAATGCAGAACTAGCACCGGAGTGACGAGGAGAAGGGAGGAGACGGTAAAAAGGAGAAGCTTCGTCTTAAACTATTGCTATTCTGTACAGGGTTTTTTCTAAGCTATTTCTATTCTGTACAGGGCTTTTTCTAAGCTATTTCTATTCTGTACAGGGTTTTTTCTAAGCTATTTCTATTCTGTACAGGTTGAACCAGATTTAACTTGATAATTTAGACCAGATAACAGATAATATAAACCACCCATTTAATCACCAGCTAGATATTAAAGTCACTATTGTGACGGTACATTAGAACTAGACAGAAACAAAGTGTGAAGGGCCTGAATATCTGGTCTTAAAGAGATTGCGTTAATTTTGGACCACACTGCATTATATTATAGCAGGCCGCTATTAATCGTGTCGAACTGTTGGGAGACACCAAATGTACATATAATGTAATGTCATACCGTACGAATTAGACGATTGACAATTTTGATAATTAGATTTGAGGAGGCTAAAGATTTTATGCATATTTTCACATATTTGAAAGCGCTTTATCAACAAAATGTCGAGTATTTTAAGGTTTCAGATAATCCAGGATACCAAAGAAGAGGCTCTACCATAACTACTAGTTTTTATTCCACGTAGTTAAAAATGTTTTTATCAAGCGAAAATGTTACCGTCTAGAGCTCAGTTTGTAATCAATATCATGCGAAAAACGCACCATTTTAAAATGTAATTTGTATCACGTACAGATTTACCGAAGCGTGCGAGTTTTGAAATGTGGAAATAAGAAGTTCTAGGTTACCTAGAGTACACGTATAAAAGTTTATTGAAAAGTAGTGTACAACTACAAGTACGTGTACACAATATTATGTATTTACATAATACAATATATACTGGTTTAAAATGTGGTAAAATATGCGACATGGGCGCTGGAACTTAAAGTCGTATAAGAAAACATGTACAAATAACACATCAACACCTAACAGCATTCTCAACATTTTAAACTGCTCTCAATTTGTACACTACAATGTAGTATACACATGTGTTTACGCGTACGTGGTATAAAATAGCTGTGACGCAGATATCCGAGACTAAGACATACTGAAGACTTGGTATTTAGTATTTGATATGTTGAAGCTGTAAAGTACATTCAGATGAGAACGTAGAGAACCATTTTTGAGATAAAAACACTAGTAGACACATTCCCAGAGCTTCTAGAATGTGTGCACATTCTTGTACACCAGACAAGAGGATATTTCTGAATAAGGAGGGAGCAAAATTTGAAGTATTTGCAGGGAATCTAATTAATTCTGCAGCCTGACGCATATTCTATAATATTATTCTATTTACCGTGTTGAGATTATTTATGACTTGCAGGACTTCATTGCGATATGTTAGATATGTAGGAGTATAATATACACCCAACACACCCAACCTACCTAGCGGCATCAAAGACGTAATGTATATTGACATTTTATGTGAAAACTTAATTTATAATTAATCAGTAATATCACGTGATCAGGTAAAATGGAATTCAGAACGGGAGGGTGTGGTAAGTAATGTACTTTAGAATATGTGAAATATTCCTGATATTTAGAGAAGGATCGCTCTCTTATAAAGTGTCTTGTTATGGTGTGTACGTGTTATTTAGGCTGGAATCTACATTCCGTGTACGTGTTTCACAACTCCTGACAAGGGACGGGGCTGTGTGTTTCACTAACATTCAGATCTACTAAACATTAGTCTTATGTGTACACTCAAGAACCAGGAATTATGTGTAAACAGCTACATTCAGGAGTTAGGTAACTTGGATTATTCTGAAGCTCAATTCAAATGTTGTGGAGAAAAATTCTTTAGAAGTAGAATCAGAAAATTAGTTATGTTCGGCGTGAAACAGAGAAAGAAGATTTGGAGGTCTTCTAAAGAATTAAATGTAGCTTTTGAAGGACACAAATCGGGAGTCGCACAGCTGCAGCCCGGAGCTATTTCTTTAGAGTATTACAATAGTTGCAGTCAGAGCAAAGTTCTCCTTGTATGATCAGAATACACGTTGCAGGTGGGTCAAGCCTGTGCTACGACTCTAAGTTATGCATGTATAGAACTGAGGAATGGAGTATGGCTGGAACTAAGGAATGGAGTATAGCTGGAACTAAGGAATGGAGTATGGCTGGAACTAAGAAATGGAGTATGGCTGGAACTAATAAATAGAGTATGGCTGGAACTAAGAAATGGAGTATGGCTGGAACTAAGGAATGGATTATGACTGGAACTAAGAAATGGAGTATGGCTGGAACTAATAAATAGAGTATGGCTGGAACTAAGAAATGGAGTATGGCTGGAACTAAGGAATGGATTATGACTGGAACTAAGAAATGGAGTATGGCTGGAACTAAGGAATGGAGTAAGGCTGGAACTAAGGAATGGAGTAAGGCTGGAACTAAGCTATGGAGTATGGCTGGAACTAAGGAATGGAGTATGGCTGAAACTAAGGAATGGAGTATGGCTGAAACTAAGGAATGGAGTAAGGCTGGAACTAAGCTATGGAGTCTGGCTGGAACTAAGGAATGGAGTATGGCTGAAACTAAGGAATGGAGTATGACTGGAACTAAGGAATGGAGTAAGGCTGGAACTAAGGAATGGAGTATAGCTGGAACTAAGGAATGGAGTATGGCTGGAACTAAGAAATGGAGTATGGCTGGAACTAAGGAATGGAGTATGGCTGGAACTAAGAAATAGAGTATGGCTGGAACTTAGGAATTTGGAGTATGCCTGAAACTAAGGAATGGAGTAAGGCTGGAATTAAGCTATGGAGTATGGCTGGAACTAAGGAATGGAGTATGGCTGGAACTAAGGAATGGAGTATGACTGGAACTAAGGAATGGAGTAAGGCTGGAACTAAGGAATGGAGTATGGCTGAAACTAAGGAATGGAGTAAGACTGGAACTAAGGAATGGAGTATGGCTGGAACTAAGCTATGGAGTATGGCTGAAACTAGGAATTGAGTATGACTTGAACTAAGGAATGGAGTAAGGCTGGAACTAAGCTATAGAGTATGGCTGGAACTAGGGAATGGAGTATGGCTGGAACTAAGGAATGGAGTATGGCTGGAACTAAGGAATAAAGTATGGCTGGAACTAAGGAATGGAGTATGGCTGAAACTAAGGAATGGAGTAAGACTGGAACTAAGGAATGGAGTATGGCTGGAACTAAGGAATGGAGTAAGGCTGGAACTAAGGAATGGAGTATAGCCGGAACTAAGGAATGGAGTATGGCTGAAACTAAGGAATGGAGTAAGGCTGGAACTAAGGAATAAAGTATGGCTGGAACTAAGGAATGGAGTATGGCTGAAACTAAGGAATGGAGTAAGACTGGAACTAAGGAATGGAGTATGGCTGGAACTAAGGAATGGAGTATGGCTGGAACTAAGGAATGGAGTAAGGCTGGAACTAAGGAATGAAGTATGACTGGAACTAAGGAATGGAGTATGGCTGAAACCAAGGAATGGAGTAAGGCTGGAACTAAGAAATGGAGTATGGCTGGAACTAAGGAAAGGAGTATGGCTGGAACTAAGGAATGGAGTAAGAACTTAGGAATGGAGTATAGCTGGAACTAAGGAGTATGGCTGGAGGACAGTTAGTCTGTGTAATTTAAAGGTTATTGGTGATGACGTGTATTACTTTACCTGTACTAAACTTAACATCTCCTAGAAACCAACTCCCTAACTTCTAGAGCTCATAAAGCTATAGTAAATTGTAATTTTATGGACTGAGCTGGGTTTGCTCGTCGAAGCTCTTACATATAATACTCATGAGAATGGTCAGTACTTTGCACAGCAAGTGATTTATTCACTTTACTTTGATCAAGAATTTAGATTTCAGAGGCTTCGTTTAACGGTTCATTATGACGTCACATCATATCTATTATAACGTCTACTGAACTGTATAAAATGAAGCTGTCAAAGTATGAATTGAAGTCTTGCCAACGGTAGGGATGCCTTCAAGTCAATTGTGTTTTGAGTTGTAGAGTTAAGTTAACTGTGATAGGTACCCCGTCACGTGACATGTTTGATCTTTGTCAGAGTCTGACCAGTCACGGCTTGTTACGTCAAATGTGGAAAATTACCAACAGCTCGACAACCTCCTCTTGGAAACAACTAGAGCCCTCCAAAGGTTGCTAACGTCACACTTTCTCAACAATTAGAAAGCAAATTCAGGTTAGCTTCCAGACACGCATGTGCCGTAAGGTTCCCTTTCGTGAGATGTCTTTACACAGATTCTGGCAAAATCTCAGCTGAGCTGTTGGGTAGCCAGTCAGTTTATAATGTTAGAAATCATACTATTTTTATTTAGCTACACTAAATATAGTGAGATGTTACCCGGGTCTAATTATTCGAAGCACCTTATTCTGGACCATCTATGATCCCGAAAAGATTAGACCTGACCAACTAAATTCCGGACTATTTATAACTTATGCCGGTCAAAAACATAATATAATATAATAAACATAATGACATCGGACATTTTACTTCATATAAACTGTGTCCTAGGTAAAATTTTCCCAGAATTACTGAAGGCGTATTTAAAATTCCTCGATTGTAAGGTACGGCAGGCTCAGGAAATGTGTTACATAATAGTGTGTAGCCTTGTTGGCCGGCCTTCACAAATTAGGGTGGACACGGAATAAGATAATCAATAAACTTAATCAATCTGGAAAACACGACCAGAACTCCGTGCAGTACATTCACAAATTAATTAACTTCCAGGTTAAAACTTAAAAGCAGAATATATCCAGGAGATTGTGTCAATCATGAATAAATTGTATACACATTGTGCAGGGCCATCCCGGTAATATCCTACTTGCTTGTTGTTACAAAATTAAGATAAGAAACGAGGCTGAAAGTCTAGCGGTTTCTTACTATCAGGTTCGTAAGACACACGAGGCTAACATGCCGTACACACTAGAGTTACACTAGAGGCCGTTACATACTTTGACAGACGTGGGACGGAAGGTGTGGTGTGTAAAGTGGAGATCAGGTGACACATCTAATACCTTGTACACAGTTTTAATACTTTCAACTCTACTATATAACAAATAATTTGAGGTATGAGATATGATAGACGAGCGTAAGTGTTGACGTGCAAAGGACTGCTGTGAGTGTACTTGAAGATTACTCATCCTCCTCCTTCTCATCAAAACTATTCTCATCAAAACTACTATCTGGACTGAAGGTATTGCGTTTACAGTGTTTATTGTGCTTCTGAACATTGAACTCTTGATAATATAACTATGTCAAATAATAAGAGCTCAGACATTAGTCTCCACTCTTGTGAGCGCCCTTTAGAACATTTGAACTTTTCATTCCAGTCTGAAAAATCAGAGAACTGTAACAATTGTCTGTCAAAAGACATCAAGATTGACTTTTTAGAAAAAAAGTTGTCTTTATTGAATGAAATTATCAGAACTAGTGATCTCATTGCTCAGTACAATGATAGTCTCATATCAGATCAAACTCAAATACAAGAACAGAGTTTTAAGTGTGAAAATTTGCTGCCAAACTTATCAGAGGAGATTGAATGTGAGATCATAACCATTACCCCTCAGTCACACGTTGTTATCAATCAAGTAGAAGCGTTTGATGTAGATGACATTGTTGTGGAAGATGTTGTATCGGACAGTTTGTTTGTTGACAACGATGTCGTGGACAAAGTTGTTCCACAGGAGGTTGTTGGAAACGAGATTGTTATCAGTGAGATTGTTGTTAACGAGGTTATGGCAGACGAGGATGATGTGTCTGATCTCCCTGTATCTACTGCTACTGGTGAATCACGGATCAAACCCCTAAGCCCAGAGACAAATATCCAAACTTGGTCCGTACCCCTGTCTACGATCCTATAACACCGGGGCCAATGAATATATCTGTAACTTGTTCCCCATCACCAGTGAAACCAGTTACCCTACTAGATGATGGTCCATTCTCTAAATTTTCACTTGATCTATTAATGGAAGAACTTGAGTTCAGTCACGGTTTTAAAAACAGGAAATCGGTTTATTTTGGTGACTTTCCCTATGAGTACTCAGGTGCAACACATGACCCAAAAAGTGTACACAATGATTCCTACCTTGCTAAACTCAGCTCCTACATTAATGTGATATTACCCAATTTCAGACACAATAGTATTCTCGTCAATCTATATGAAACTGGAGCAGAGTTCATGCCAGCTCATAGCGATTCTGAATCATGTATTGTAGAACACTCTGATATTGTAACCATTTCACTTGGTGCGACGAGAACACTGCAAATTAGATCAAACGGCAGCAATGAAGTTGTGGGCTCTGTGCAGCTTCAGCATGGAGATGTCTTCATCATGTCCAAATTGTCTCAGGCTGACTTTCAACATGAGATACTGCCAGACGAAATGTGTGATGAACCCCGGATCAGCATCACCCTA